GCTGTTGCTGGTTGCTGGTTGCTGGTGCTCCTGTTGCTGTGTTTGCTGTTGCTGCTGCTGTTGTTGTGTCTGGTGTCGTTGTTGCTGTTGTTGTTGCTGTTGTTGTTGTTGTGGTTGTTGTTGTTGTTGCTGTTGTTTTTGGTATTGTTGTTGTTGGTGGTGGTGCCGGTTGGCGGTGGCGCTGGTGCTGGTTGCTGTGGTTGATGTCGAGGGTGTAGCAGCAGTCGCAGAAGCAGTCGCACAGCACCAGCAGTAAGCAGTGAGCAGTGAGCAGTAGCAGGAACAGCAGCAGTAGCAGCAGTAGTTGTTATTGCCGCTATCGTTGGAAAAATACTGCTACATCGCAATCTTTAGTTGCATTCAGTAATAAGTCGTACTAAGTGGTGGTAAATCGCAAAGAGCACGAGGAGCGGTAAGAAGCAGCAACAGCAGCACCCCAACAAGGACGATTTGTCCATGCATCTTGCGTCATCCCTTGCAGCTTCGTGAGCCGTGAGTCGTTACATAAGAAGGCCTCTATAGCAAAAATGGGAGTATAGCTCTGCCTGTTGGCAAGGCCGCTCGATGATATCACCGATATCTCTGTACACGGGCATCGCAGTGAGGCAGCTTCACTGTCACTTAAACAGACATTAACTGACGCCACTCCTGCCACGATGCGCAGTCTGCGCCAAACAGACCGCCATCGCAGGTGCAGGGCCCGCAAATCACGATCAAACCGGAAAACCAGGAAGAACCAGAGAGCGAAGCATCCAGAATGACTGTAGCAAATGACATACAGTGATCCTTGATAACATACGAAACAGAATGACTCGGTCAGAAAATCTTCAGAATTGGTGGAAAAGCGGGGAAAACCTAGAAGCCATGTTCTTTGTGCACGGCTCGTATGGGGCGGGTCTGCCTGCTGCAAAGAAGTTCGCAAATTACCCCCAAAAAGCACTTGTAGCCTCAGGCGGAGGCAGGCCATCCCCACATGAAGAAACAGGAATGCATGGGAGACGTGCCGGAGCAGTGGAACAGTATTACAGTGTCTGCACAAGAGCTTCACCGAGGAGGCCATTCAGCTCACAGAGGTTACCTTCAGCACTGAAATTCATGATCAAATGACACATATCAGCAATAGCGCCAAGGACATTATAGGACCAATGCCAGTGTGCCGGTAACACAACAACAGCGGATGCTGCGATGGCGACGATGATTCGATGAGAATGCTGAAACCGAACCAAGAAAACCCGACACCACCATAGACCAGGGAGACGCCTAGGTTCTGGTCGTAAGAACAGTAAGAGCCACCATTCTGCAAACCTGGAAAGGGTCAAGATGCTGCGTGGTCTTGCACCAACTGCTCCAAGGAGAAGATGTCACCTGAGGAGGAACTCTTTGGGTACAGCCCATGGAAGAACAAAAGAGCGGGATCAGGATAGGATGAGGCTTCTCCTGAGCATCCATGGATCATTGCACCTGTGGCCCCAGCTGACTCCACGAGGGCCCTCCCTGCAAGAGGCAGCAGGCAGCGTTGACAGGAGAGGGATTAAGGCCACCCGGATGAGCACCCAGAGATCTACTTGGCAAGGCATCGCTCCTTGGAAGTCAACAGTCGTCATGTTCAGTTTCTTACCCCTCCAAGAAGGATAAACCATGTGCGCCACCGAATCGTCAATTGCAGTGCGTGCCTTCGCTGCCAGAACTCCTCCACACTGGTAACATCAACATCCTGGCAGACGCAGAAGTTGCCCGGCTCGCTTCGTCTCATCGGAGCATGTGCACGGGAGCTACTATTGCCATGAGCAGAAGGAAGCTTCTCACCAAACATGCACAGCATCATCCAGAGTGTCAGAAGCAATAAAAGAAGTCGCTGGGCGCCTTGGGTATGTTAATTTTGGTAGGTCCCGGAATGACCTGAGTTGTCCAACCAGTGCCTAGAGGAATAGGCTGAAACTACAGCAGCATGTCCACTCATCTGTACTGAGCATGCTGCCTGTGATGGAACCATCCTGGGCATTCCCACCTTGCCACAGAGCCAAGCAGTGGTTGGAAAAGGCCACCGAGGCCATTTAGGTTTGGGGTAGTTCGGGGTTTAGAATTCTGTCTAAGCAGGGACTCGTCACGAAACTTACAGCGATTCTTCTAGGCTGCTCTTACCACCCACACCAGGCACAGGTTAATTCGTAGCAACACCAATCACAAGAGCAACGATTGGCTAGGGTGTGTCGCAGATCCTGAGTACCTAGGCAGTACAGCTCTCCTGAGTTTCCAGTCAAAAAATAGCAAAAATGCTGATGATCATGTCAAGAGGAAGGAGCAGGAGCAGCGATAACCAAAAGCAGCAATTAGCAGAAAACACAAGGACGACCCCTCCACAACCCACCCTGGCAGAGCTAAGAATCAGAAATACTCGTAATGTGCAGCTTGTGCTCCTCTACAGATCACCACGATGAGCTCCGCATGCCAACGCTGGTACGTAGGGCTAAGGACGCCACAAGAAGATTGCAGAAGACTGAACAGCAGTACCAGTTTTTCACACAACCATGACGAAAACTAGTTATGATTCCTCTGACAATCTTAACTTGTCCCTGAAGCCATCAGTCTCTGTCTGCTAAGTACTGCTCCGATCTCACCGATTCGCGGCTTTTCGGTTATGCATCTGGTCACTGCGTGATATGATGCTGATGATGGCGATGGCGATCGTGGTGACGGTCATGAGTGTGCTGCTGATTTTGACAAGCATAACATCATTGACAGCACTACTCGACCACCGCAGTCGTCACCTGTGCTCCGAGGCCTTAGCTGGTGCTGGGCTCTCCTGGAAGGACACGAGGTCCCGGGACGGCTTCCTGGAAAGCGCCAGAGGTGATCAGTTACGAGATGGCAGCTCACCCCCTGGTCCCACCATTCTTCAAGCAGGACACAGGCTGGAAGCCGATCGCCAAATTCAAAAACCCACCCCTGCCACAGGCGTGACCTGCTGTGCATCCACGGACGGCTCTCCACAGGCCTCAGGAAGCCACCAGAACCATCGAAGTAGGCTGGCTACCAGCCACGACATGTCAGAAACCCCAAGCCATGGTACCATGATCAGAATTACTGTGCCTTGGAGCTGGGAGGAGCTGGGCTGCTTGCGGGTCAGGGCTGGACTAATTGGGGCCGCTGGCCTGCGGGATTGCTGACGATCGGTTCCGGATTTGTTGTTAGTCACTGCTCGTCTTGACACTGGTTGAAACTCGTCAAGCCTGCTTTTTTCGCTAAATTCTCAGGATGTTGCAGGATTAGTTCTGCGTCGATTTCGAGATGAGTTGGGCGGGCAGGAATATTTCAGCAGAAATATGTCAAAAATTCTTCAGGAATGAAATCATTGTGACATGCCCGGTGTGCCCAAGGCTGCACGATCGGAACAAAACATCATGGTAGCAATAGTAGTCGCTGCAGCTGCAGCAGTACGTGCCTGATTGTCATAGCAGTATGCCGCCGAATAGTGTTACGATGCTGGCTGTCATGATCCTGATTCTGATTGCTACAGTACATTTACTAAACACGGATACAAGTGGCTGTTCCAGTTAAAGTCTCTTTCTGGCTGTCACTGATGTCACTGTTAGTTTGGGGAACTCTGGACTGCTCTGAAAGGCCGCTGCCCACCGAGACCATCATTGTCCGTGTCCTCTGGGACCAGAGAAGTGGGAGCTTTAGGGCCTTTAGGGTTTAGGCCCAGTTTAGGCTTCGTCAGCTTCATAGCTCTGCAAGAATCTGCTCAAACTTACACTTCGATCCGACTGTAGGTTTGCAGTCCTCGGCCATCCCTACCAGGTTGTTGCCACTCAGAGATCGCAAGCTGTGCAGATTGATCTGCACCTCGGCTTGGCTGCCCTGAGCTTAACCAGAACACATGAGCCCTAAATTTGGGACCGCAGCAGGCTCATCTGCACGAGGCCGGCTCAGCGGTGCAAGGGGAACCGCCTGCGACAGCTTTTGACCTCTTACATGCCGCTACACTATCGCCGACACGACTGGCCAAGCCAGGGGGGCTCGCATGACAAGATAAGCGCTAGCAGATATTGGCAGGCCCTCTGCTGGCCATCACATCATCTGCCCAGTGACTGGGTGCCCGGCCTCTGGCTGCATCTCCTGGTGATAACCACAAACAGACTTGCTAGCATACTCTACGACTTCGCAATCCGTGAGTGTCACGACATGCGCTCACCTAACCAAAAGCCGTCAGGGATACAAACCAGCACTGGCGATGGTGTTCAAACGCCGCTTCAACGACGAAGATTGTGATTGTTCCCATTGACTGTTCCATGCTATTGACAGCACTACGCTTGCCACAGTACAACCATGTCTGACCGATTCCTAGTACTATTGCTATTGGCAGCTGTGGCGGGCCTCCGTATCTTGGCCACCAAGGGAGCAGAGGCGCCCAGCTGCAGACGCGACCTGAAGTAACGGGCTCCAAGGGATTCTGTGCGCGCCGCAGCTCATATGGCAGGGAAGGCAGTACTGCAATTCGAATGCACAAAACGTGGGGTGTCCATCAGTGCCTCATGGAGCCTGTGCATAAAACTCTGTGCCTGCAAAGCTGAGCCATCTGCTGACCGAAGCGGTTTGGGCTGTGGACCCAGCGAACCCTGAACCTCGGGCAAAAGCATAGCAAGCTCCGTGAATTTCAGCATTTCGCTAGTACCGGGCTCCAGGCTCCAAGCAGCTGGCCTGCCATGAGCCCCCCCACACGCAGCACATGCAAATGCGACGCTTCGAAGGAGCGATGCCGGCCTAGATCCAAAGGTAGGAAGCGTTCTGGTAGTTCAGCTTGCAAGTCCTGATGGGCAGGATCACGACACGAGAAGCCGGAGGGACGGCTCCGTGTCTCCTGCGCGACCTGCAGCAGATCGCAGCTTTTCTCCATGCAGCGCCACATTGGACGCGTCCCCAAGCCAATGTGACACTGGCACCGCAGCCGTGTACACTTCAGCAGGTGCCACGGCTCTTCGCCGTGGCCCCTGCCGTACAAAAACCTGACCTACTTAATGTGGAGTCTGCGATCTGCGAGCTGCACAGCCAGAGGCAGCTTTCTCGCAAGCACCCACGGCGCCGCTGTAGCTGATTTCATTGGGTGCCACGCCCTGAGCCTCCATCTGGTGCAAGAGATGCAGTGACAGAACCCACCGTGCACGCTTTTCCAAGGCGCTGATAGCACTGCTGTAGCTGAAGACGTTTGGCGAGAGGCCATCTGTCTTCATACCCCGAAGGACATCTAAAGCCTCTGCCCACCTCTCCGAGTCTTCACAGGCTCCCAGGGCGCCTTCACCAAAGCTGACATCGACAAAACCGCGCGATCGGTAGGTAGAATATGACTGGCGCAAGAACGGAGGAAAACTAAAGAAGGCCAGGAGGCTGCTGCATGCAATGATCCTGGGCGTGAGGGCTGTGGTGCCTTTCATCCTGCGCAGGCCCCTGTCCAAAGCCTGGCGCCAACGGCCAAGCCGCTCCCCAGCCACTAGGAAAAAAGCGGACTTTGTGACGGCCGTCTCCTGGGCTCGGGGAGCTGGCTAGGACCACTGGGAGAGGGCAGAAACTCCTAAGGCCACGCGTTTCTGCTCCGAGCTTCCGCCTGACGACTCTGCCCCATCCTCTGAAGTAGTCGAAGTCCCGCTCTCCACTTCTGGGACTGCCCACAAACCGTCATGGCAGCATTGTAGCCTGGATACACAGGGAAATGGGGACAGGATGGCACAGGACTCTTGCAAGAAAAGGAACAAGAACACCATCATGGCCCTTTAGACAGCCGGGTGGCAAACAACCTCTGAGGCATCGCGCCGTCCCGGTGTGGCGAGCTGTTGCAACGCAGCTGTCCAAAGCGCGTGCTTGAAGCAAGCGGCGATTGCACTCCCAGACACCACGATAGTCAAGGGAACTGCGGCACTGCGCATGACTGCCAAGGTGCCGAATGCCAGCTCCCAGTCCTTCCCAGGGCTCACAGCTCACAAGGATTGGCAATGATAACCTATAGGAATCGCACAAGCCTTCTGTAAGCCTAAGCCCTTTGCTATTTGCCTTCTTAGTCTTAGAGACTCTACATAGTCCCATTGCTCATTACTATTACTCCCGCGTAGGCTCACCATGCTCCTCGCAAAGCTTCATGAGTGTGCCAAAGGACACCGAGCTGGGTCGCAAAGCAGACCGCCGCATGCGAGGTAGATTTGCCAAGGCCCGGCTCCAGCGACCGTCTTCCAGAGAGTTTGCAACCTGGCAATTGGAGGCAATAATTGCAGTGCCCCCATTGAACTCACTTCCGAAAGATTGCAAGCTGGAAGCAGTGTTATAGCTGATGGCATCTGGCAGGATGACTTTCGAAGTCAGCTTCTGCATAAAAGCCGCTGACCTTAACAGCGAGGGCTGCTATACTCTCGCTCTCAACGAGATTGGACATACTCGTGGGCGATGCCAAAACAGCCGAGAAGGAACATGCTGAACATTGCTGAACTTCACACGAAAACTCAAGCCCCGTGAACCGCTGTTTGGCTTGCGGCAGGGGATCCGCTTCCAGTCGCCGATGCCACATACACGGCCGACAGAGTTGCATGTAATCACATCCTCGGATACACTGCGTCACAAAGTCTCGTCCTTTGCATGCGTCTGTGGCGCACAGAGCCTATGTTGACCTGCAACCTAGGGGCAAGGGTTGCGGTACAAGAGACCATCGAATCCACAAGATGCAGAGCACGGGGCCACGCGACGCCATAACATGCACTAATACAGCTGTTGTAGCTGATGGTGTTTGGTACACCACCGAGATCTTGCAGCAAGCAGAGGAGTGAGTGCGCCATCTGCCACTGCTGCTTCTCGCCGGCATGAATGACGGTGTTCAGACTGACCAAGTCGGCATGTTCTGCATGTAGCATGCTGCACAGCATCTGGAGTGCCCGCGGCCATCGCTGCGTCCGACCAACAGCACCCAAGACCGCGTTGAAGTGATACACATTTGTCTGAACGTCGCCTTGCAGGAGTGCCTGAAGAGTCTTGCAAGCATCCACCCAGCCGGCACTTAAGGCGCGAATGGCCCTGCGTGGCTTCCGCCGCCAAGCCTGCAGTCGCAGAGACAACGATTGCCCAGACTCTGCATTCGTCGACTGCGTCGTATTCCCTGCCCAAAGGCAATCCATGCAATCCGCGGGCCCGCATTCCTCACGGCTCACAGCTGATCACTGCAGCTCTATTGCAAACTTGTCTGCTGCAAGGCCCATTGGTACGCATTCGGATCGGCGCAACGGGCCATCCCCAGCCCAATGCGGGCCGACCGTTTGTTTCTTGAGCCAGCAGCTGTTGACAGCAATGTCTTCTCAAGATGCCTCTTTGTCTCACGGTGTCCGTCAGATGTCCCTGCACGGAGCCTCTTGCCCGTGCATGCTCATGGTGTCCAGACCTCGCCAGGCTCCGAAACCAGGCAGATACACTCGGCCTAAATCGCTCAGGTTGATAAGCCGCTGCACTGCCGATTAACTAGGTCCGCTACCCATTTGATTCATGTAGTACGGCGCGTCGTCGGCCAGGTGAGCAGCCTGTTTCCGGTTTAAAACGACAGCTCCCTTCCGTTGTTGCGAGAGTTTTCTCTTGACTCTTGTGAGTAAAGCCAAGTTGCACGGCTTCTGTTCCAACCCCACACTAGCCGCTAGCCCAACTCATGCGCCTGGATCTCTGCCGCAGCGGCATGCAGGCGCCGAGCCTCTGCTGCGTGTGCCTGGCGACAGGATGTGGGCTTCCTTGCAATTCTGCACATCCGCCGGCTCGCATCTGCAGGCGCCTGCGCTGCCTGACCGATCTGCATGAAGGTCTGGTATGCCTGAAACTGAATCTAGGCTGCACACCTCGTCACACTGGCCTCTGTTTGCGTGCTTTGAAAGAATATGGAGGAACTGTGCAGCTGCCCGATCAGATTTTGGATGGTTATGTTGATTCTGTGGATCGCCGCAAGAGTGTTCCTGGCACATTCCAACGCTCAGCCCCGGAGGGTGGCCTTGTCCTTCTGGAGTGCTGACATTGACATAGCTGAGGAGCCTTGGTCAAGCCGTTGAAGTTGGCAGCAGAAATTTAAAGCAGCCCTGGTCGGCACGGCACTGCTATGAAATAGGATCTACAAGATCATCAGCTCCACGCTGAGTGGTTGTTTGCCCGATGAAGGGTTGGAGACTTCACTTGGCCAGAACTGAAGTGTCTCGCTCTGAAGGATAAGGAAACAATCACGTGTCTGAACCTCATTGCCGCAGATTCTGCTTACATTTGTTGTGCTGTTACAAACCTTCCAACCCCACAATCGCTGGGATTCTCCCGCTACCGCCAGCACTATTATCGCAATCATCTCTATACTGCTACCAACTGCCACCATCGCTAATGCTGCTACAACGAAGTCTGTCAAGACTTCGGTTGCTATTTCTACTCTAGAGCCGTCACCACCATCACCTGTCTTGCGAGGAGTACCAGGACCATGATTGCCACCGCCACCCCCCCCCCAACAAAAACTACTGCTGAACTTTGACTAGTATGGTTTGGCTGCTGCTATGGTCACTCGTGCCACTTGTAATCTAGACAAACGGATTCAGTGCTTTACCGGAAGTTACATAGTTTGCTGGTCCCCTAGGTTTATGTCCTACTGGTACTCGCATTGTTGGTTGTCCTCAGAACTACATTGATTGCAACTATGAATGATTCTTACCACTGCCAGCAGTACCACTAGTACCACCACTACCACTACCACTACCACTACCACTACCACTACCACTACCACTACCGTTACCAATACCACTACCACTACCACTACCACTACCACTACCACTACCACTACCACTACCACTACCACTACGACCAGTAGTAGTAGTAGTAGTAGTAGTAGTAGTAGTACTACTACTACTACTACTACTACTACTACTACTACTACTACTCCTACTTCTGCTCCTACTCCTACACTACCACGACTCGAATTCCCCTGCCCTGCCCTTCCCCGCCGCTGCCTTGCCCCTGCCCCTGGTGTTCCATGCCCCCTGCCCAGTGCCTCTCCCCTGCCTTTGCCACTGCCAGTGCGTGTGCGATGCTGCTGCTGCCCCACTCCCAGTCCCACTCCGGCGCGGCTGCCACGGCTACCACGGGTTGCATGATTGCTTTCGTTGGTATTTTGCTACCATTCCTGCCCTGCCTGAGAAGCAGGAGCGGCCACGGTAGTCGCAATAGCGCAGCAATGTGCGGCAGCGGTAGTTGAGACTCGTGATGATAATCGTCAGAGTGACTATCCCTCCCCGAGGCTCAGTCTGCGCCGGACACCAGGTCGGACCTCGCCCGCGGCCAGCCTGGAAGGAAGAAATGTTGCAAGTTATCCAATGAGCCCGTGCATTTAACGTCGTCACCTCCATGCCAGTTCATGCAGAGGTATCTTCGCCGCAATATTTCGCCGTCTTGCCACACATCTGTCTGCACTCAGCACTGACCGGACAGGGTTAGGGGTAGCCTTTGGGCAATCCACAGTTCCTGATTGCTTCAACGGCTCGTGGTGGAAAAGTTCTGGCGAGGCCCTGTTCCTGCCCCCAAAACTAGAGTAACACTCGGCATCTTCCTTCAACTTGCATGCGGATGCCACGCCAAGTTCATGCCATCACAGGAGAAACAGCTCACAATCCAAAGGTCATGGGGTGCATCAACTACCATCGATTTCACATGTCTACATGTCGTGGGAGGAAGGTCAGTCGTGAGCTGATATCATGGTGGCTTAGCAGCGATGAGATACGATGATTTGCCTCGTATAGACCGGCGCAAGCAATGTGCTCTTGATGGGGCAGACAACGGATGCGTCTATCTTCTCTGCGAGGCGCAGCCTATGCAGCTTTGCTTTCTCTTTCACTGACCATGTCCATCAGGTCGTCGATACACTCTGGGAACTGCTTTAAAGCTACACCTACAGATATTCTGGGCGCAAAGTTCTGAAAACCCCATAAAGCTGCTATCCTACCTCATTGCCGTTTTCACGCGCTAGATTGTAGGTTGCCATCCTGTGTGATACGTTCAACCCTGAAGGCTGCTGGCTGCAGGCAAGGTGCGGCAGTTCAAAGTGCCGCATCTCCTTCAGGTTCATGTCTGTCCCACACGCGCGAACAGAAACAGAGACACTCAGCAAGAGATACCGAGCATCTCTGGCATACTGCATACTTCAGAAATAGGTTCTTCCATACATGCTTGCGACCAAACAACATCTGCTAACTTCCTGTTCTGACGACCAGCTTCTGCTCCCCGACTCCCAGAGTTCCGCGTGTGCGCCTGCTCCCTTTCGACATCGGGGAAGGGTAATGGCCGCAGCTCCTGCGGAGGCAGTGAGATTTTCAGCTTCTTCCGATGGCGGTTTCCTTTCTGTTCTGTGTTCCTACTTCTCAGCTGAGCACGCCACTGGAATATCGAAACCAAGAGAAGCAGCCCAACAAAATCGTGCGACATGCTCATGCTTGTCTTCCACAGTTCCACAAGAAGCGACACGGATTGGTCTCGAGGGACCAAGTGCTGGTGGGTGCCAGAAGCTCCCGCTCGAACCGTTCCGACAAATCGACGATGCTGCCAACATCGGAGGAGGCTCAGCAGAAGACATCTTCAAGAACCAGTAACAAACTCCTCCTGGCTGTGAGCATATCGGCAGTCGGGATTGTCACAGCCACCAGTTGCGATCAAAGTCTTGCACAATTTGGTGCACGCCTAGGCTAAGGCGGTGTTTGCAAGCTGCAGCTCGATTTTGCAGAGCAATTGAGGACAATACCAGATCGGGAAGGCACTGCAACTCCGACCTCAGAGCAAGATGGTCAACATGATGAGGGAATTGGTTGAAAATTGAAAATGCATCATCACTTGGCGCAGCGGCTGGGAGTGCGCAAAACGGCAGCTGCTACCCTGAGCAGAAGCGCTCTTGACACGATGTTGCTACTTCTGCTCTCCGTAGCTCAGGAAGAGTGCATTCATGCAGAAGGGGTCAATCGCTTCACTCCTATGCATGGACTGCGGCCGGACTACTGCCACCACCACCACGACATGTTATCTGGCACTATGTCCAGTCCACTACCAGAATCAGCCTGAGCCTAGTTCCTGTGGGCTACAGCTGCATTTACCAGCACTGCTACTGTGGCAATGGACTGCGCTTTTGATTGCCACTTTGATTGTCATGACCACAGCTTCAAGTTGCATGTCCCATGCCTTGGTGCAGGCGCCCAAAATATGGAATTTGCCTCGGTGGCATGACACTGCCAGAACTGGTTCTTTCGCAAGTCTAGCAGACCCTGCCACTTCCGCAAGGAGGCTAGAAATCTTAGGAACACGCACATCTTTGTCTTCTCGAAGACTTGAGTGCGCATGGACCGCTCCTGTCACTGCATTTCGAGGCGCAGCGTACACAGCTATCTTGGCACAGGGCTGCCGACAAATAATGAAAAATCCAAGAATAATGAGGACCAATTCAGAAACACTCGAGAAAAACACGAGAAACAATCGCAGAAACTCCGGAAAAAAAGAACCCTAAACCCTGAACCCGAAACTTCAAAACCGTAAGTCCGAAATCCATGGCCCCCAAACTCGGAACCTCCTTCCGGTGTTACGAATCGGTTTCTGAATCCACCGGCTACTTTTCCGCAAGAGCCACTGCTTTTCGGAATTTGTTTTCCAGGCCCTCCGGGTTGTTTTCGCAACCACGTTGCTCTCCTTGCACAACTACTTCTGCCTGTGGCAGACAGGAAGCAGCTGGACTGAGCTGGTCCTCATCGTCTGCAGTCGGAGAGAGTCCCGAGGTGACCTTGGCGACTGCTCCACTGTGCCGACTGTGCTCCGAAAGCTTGGCGCTGAGCCTGTGTGGCTGCTACGGCGACGGTGGCTCCGCTCCTGGACTGGCGCTGAGGAGCCGCCCAGACGGACCGCGAAGCTAATCCGCGAGCACAGAGAGCTCTAAGCGCCTGCGTCTTCGGGGCATGTCCTCTCTTGCCTGAGATGTGGACTTTGACTTCAGTGCGGTTTGCGAACTCTCCAGGTGGGGACACTTGCACACACTTGCCTTCCACGTGCTCAGAAACCGGCCACGACTTGTGGGGTATTTGGCCCCGAGGGTTTTGAGCCAAGCCGACACTGCAGAGGAGCGAGCAGAGCATGGCGCCCAGCGTACAGTACTACTCGCGAGCAAGCAGATGAAGTGCCTACATACTAGCATCGGTACATCTGTTCGCGAAGTGCAAACTCACGAGTCGCGAACCTCCTTCAAGCAAAGCTCCTCGATGTCTGCCTTATTGAGACCATCAGGGGAATCAGATTCGGAAGACTCCTGCACGGCTTCGGCTGCCAAAGCCTCCGAATGGAAAGCAGCTAGATTCAGCAACAGGGCATCTCCAACCCATCTAAGAATCTACCGTAGGTGGCCGGCCATCTTCTCAGCGTACAGCTTCCCAGTGCCCCTCCATCGAACGTTGAGTCCACGGGCGGCCCTGGCTTGCGGCCTAGTCTTTTGCGACTCATGCCTACTAAGCCTGACCGTCGCAGGAAACCATGTTGGCTGAGTTGGTGGGACGAGATCTGGAAAGCACTACCTAACCATGCGCGTCGAAGTTGTCAAAACCATCTAGCCCACAAACCTCTCAACATCGTGCCAGATCTCACCAAGAGTATCCTTCCTAGGGTGCCGACGCTTCTACTCGTTGCAAGCAGAACTGCCAGCAACTGAGCAGTCTCGGCAATCGCACTCTTTCAAGCAGCACAATGATAAGGTGAGGGCTTTAGGGCCTTTGGGGTACTGGGCTTTAGGAAGCACGTAGCTCGACCTCTCAAACTCCTCCGACTTGTACATCTGCTGCAGGTCACCCAACATTGCCATGGCGGCCTTGGGCGCGGTTCAAAGGCCACCAAGTCTTCGGAACATGCGCTCCTGACCTCGGCGTTGAAGACTGCACGGAGGGTTCGTCGCCAGCGCCGGGTAGCCGCCTGGATGGTTTTGGGAAGGATGTTGATGCTTCACTGTTGCGGCAGGTGCTGGCTCGCCGGCCTCTTTGGGGTCCTTTTCCTGCGTAGACGCTTCTGAATCTGCCTGGCAACGTGATCTGCCGGACAAACCCCGGGTGTTCAAAGCCCATGTCCTCGGGCCTGCTTCGAACTGAATCCCGACCCTCTCCTTGCACGAGATTCCTCCGCATGTTTGCGCTGGGATTCTGCAATCTGAACACGTGAATCTGAATCATGCTTGGTGGGAGCCGTCGGCTTGCAGTCCTTCGCAGACTCTGCAGCAGCCTCCTCTTTCTTGATCACCTGAAGAACAATAAAAAAAACACACGAAAAGATCCTGTGCAAAGCCCATAAACGTGGACGCCACCTCCGCAAGCACGCCGCGAAGCAACTGCAGAAGCTCCAGGGGCTCGGTGTAATGCATCCTCCAAGCAGAAAAGCGCAAGAGAGATCTGGAAGTGAAGGCAGCGTCCCAGGTACCAAGTATAGTACTCATGTAGTGAATGCTGGGGCTTCGACCCTTCGAGCAAACACGCCATGGCCGCTTCGTAGTCCTCGACAGGGTCGATGCGCAAAGAAGACATAAAAATCATGAGAATCCTGAGTATGAAGTGAGCCGTTTGGGGCAGAGAGACAAGTGCCAGGCTGCAACATCAAGTCGCGCTAGGCTTCGGTCTGCGCTGTACACCGGAGTCTGTAAGCCGAGTCTTTCGAGAGGCCATGTGAAACGGCCTCGTGGCCCAAGCTGTCTACTACGGAACGACTGCCTTGCTGCTACTAACATCAAGAACACTGCGACTCGTGGTCCCGTGGTGTCGCCACAAACCAATGCTGAAACCGTCGGCCACGGTCTAGACTTCCGGGATCTTCCGGGCACGACTGGCGAGGCTTCGCGGCTCCACAATGACACCCGAAACTCAGCGAATTCAAAAGCAGGTTATTGCTGTATCCAATGGCCTAAGAACGCCGGACTGACGTGCAATCAGCACAGCGGATGGAAATCAACCTGCTGCAGTGGCAGACTGTATCTTCCAGCCATGCAGGACTGCCGCCTTCAGATCACCCAGAGAGGCACTTCTCTCAGTAGGGGAACCTGAATGCAAGGGACGGGATGCAAAAGCATACTCAAAGTCTGCTTCCAGTAGGTTTCCGGCAGAGCCACCATGGGCGAGCCGAAGACGGAAGCCATCTCCTCAAAACGCTGTGGTCGAAAGAACTTCCCTGTTGCCAAATCGTACAGACTGACGGCCTGGTTCATTTCATCCATGGCTTGGTCGACCTGCGCCTGAAAGGCAGCGATCGCTTCAGCATCCTCTTCTGCTCTTCACAACAGCCCGAAGCAAAGCCTAGCACACTAACAAGGATCTTCCAGGTAAGCGTAAGAAGGGACACCATACATCGGAATGCCAGTGTTGAGCCAGCGGAAGCCAAGAAATAAAGCTACGATGCTCAGGCCCCATGAGATCTGGATGAATGCTCGCGCACACATGTCTGCAAGTCTGTGATTTTGCATGTCCGCACATACAAACGAACATGTGTAGGCTCATGTCATGTAAGGAATGCCCGCATGCCCGCATTCGTCTCGTGCATGCACACACTGCATGCAATGCATACGTTACATTTCGAGATAGGCCTGCGTCTGCCGCATCTCCTGCTGTGCCTCACGCAGTCGCTGGTCGGCTTCCGAAGAGGAGGACCGCTGTCCACCTGCAAAACAGGACGGAAGAAGCTAGGGCGCAAAGCGGCCCAGCATTCTCCACTTGTCCTACCTTTGAGGCCCGGGATGTTGGTCCAAAGTCCCCGATTCTCGTCCACTTTGGTCCGGAGCTGACCAGACTCGTCGCGAACGCTCTGAATCACGTAACTGCTGGAGGAGACATAGTACCTCAACAGTGGAAGACCATCGTCCGCCATTGCCATCACGCCTATAAATGAAAACAGAAACCCGTGCAACCCGCCTATCACGCAAGTCAGCAGCACTCCCAAATCCTGCAGTTGTGCGGCGCGTCCCTCGGCATCCCATCTGCTTGAGGGTTGGAGCCTGCCATAATCCATGAATCATTTGCCCAGCCATGAGCCAAGCCCAGCCAGTGCTACAGGGAAATCAAGAATTCAATACCAGCAACACACCACATCGTACACTCACAACAAAGCACCTTGAAAAAGGGCGAAGAGCACTGCTGCTGCAAGCGCTGCTGCACCGGCCGCCGCAAGCGGAAACTTCTGCGACTCCTCGCGAAGCCGACTGGCCGAGCTGACACTACGAGCATTGGCTTCTCCTGCCTGTTTGGGCTTGGCGACAGGCCCAGGCTTCTTCGCACCCGCGGTGCCCTGCAGCCGGGCACCGCGGCTCCGAGGTGCCTGCAGAAACGTCTCACTTTGCTGTCTCGTGAGGCCATGCCGCAGCCTCCGCTTGGCTCTCTGAATCGCGCGACGCTACGATGACACTACCTCAGAGGCTCGCGCAATGCTTCGAAAGCTGTGAGAGAGAGGGATCAGAAAGGCACTAAGTGCGAGCAGAATATTTCAGGGGCTGTGCTCACTCTATGGATGCGTCTCTGCAAGACAAACAATAGCAGATACACCATGGTCTGCTCTTTGTAATTACACTTTGGAATGCGGATCGGCACGAGGACATGAAGTCTCTCAATGACCATACCGTCTCGGCTGTTGCAGAGGAGCTACCAGATGTGCCTGGGGGATCGCTGTCCGACCTTGGTGACCGCCACTGAAAGCTTGCACTTCCGTAACCATCCACCAGCCCGCCACAAGCATGCTTTGAGGAAAGTTGCTGGCTGGCTCTGGCCACCTCCAGCCGCCTGGCGTTCTGCCAAGCATCCTCCCTGCCGCCTCCGGTCCTTGTCCCTTGACGTTCCCGAAACCCTTGCCTCTGATGGCAGCCGGAAGCCACAAAGCTGGCTGCATGCAGCGAAAGAAAGCAGCAGAGCAGCCTCGGAATCAGCATCCCTGTGCACTTCCTACGAGTATCACTTACTTCAATAAGCACAGCCGAGTTGCAGGATTGCATTCTGAAGCAAGTGCGCCTTGGGCAGCCTTCTGGAGCTCCACGACATTGGTGCAGCGAGACACTGGGCCACTGCAGGGTTTGCCAGCAAGCTGGAAAAGTGTTTAAAGAAACCTGAGTCAGCTCGAGTCATGTTGATGAGAGAGTATGGAAAGCGACACTTGCTACTTGTTTTGGCCGATCTTGACGCATGCCTTCCTCGAGCCAACAGCTGGCGACACTTTCGAGGCTGACGGGCTTGGGAAAGAGGTTTAAGGCTTGAGTTTAGGGCTTCCGTGACACTTGCTTGAGGCATTGACGTCTGCTTTCTTGACGTGGCGAGCTCAGGCGGCCTGGTGTGCACGGCTCTCCGGCCTGCCTCGTCTCGCGCAGCCTCCCTGAGCGGCTCCCAGCCAAGGAGATCCATGGCAATGGCAAACTATTTATGTACCTCACTTGGGTTGGCTTGGAATCCTTCTCTGGACGTGTCTTGCAGGTTTTGGCATGTTTTTGTTTTGACAAACTGGCTTGGAGAATGAGAAAGTGCCCACGCCTCCTGTGTAGAGCCAGCCCGGAGAAGTGTAAGGTGCAGAAGTGCAAGGTTTGGGTGACTACCTGGCAAAGTCATGTATAGTTGTCGTTCTGTCATCGGCTACAGCAGGAAGAGCAGATGATGTTTCTGTTTTTCCAGCTCTCTGTAAGTACGGCGTCGTGCTGCTGTCGAGATTTATGACATCCTGCCATGTGCACTCACAGCATCACCTTATAATCACGACCTTTCCGTACGCATGGCCATCTTATGCACACAGGGCAGGAGGAGATGCGGATTCTAGAGAGGGTCCCTGGCAAACGTCCGACGGCGTTTGATGAATTGAGGCAGGCAGTGTTGTGCTGCCCATTGATGAGGACTCTTGCCAGGGGCAACTTGGGTGCTCAAGCTTGCAAACCTCCAAAGCCACAGCACTTCTCGACCGGGCAAAGAGTATCTGCTAGGGAGTCAACCTCCACGGTGGCGGTGCATGCAAGAAGTGAGGCCCCGTGCTCAAGTTTCCAGTGCATAGGGACAGCTGAGGGGCTCAGGGGCAGCCGCATGTGCAAGAAACACATCCAGCACTGGCAGCAGGGCAGCAGGGCTTCACAATTCCGTTGCTAGCAAGCGTCACTGTACAATGTGTGAAACGCAGGGCCCTTCCGGCTGTGGTTTACCTGTGCCCTGCCCCTCCCGACCGATCCATCCTGTCGGGCTCCAAACTGGTATCCGTGATTGCAACCAGTTTCCTCCCATTCCTAGCCCTGGCATGACTTAAATGCCGATCAACTGGACGGAACCGGGGTTTTGACATGCGTCTGGCCAAATGCGAAGAGCCAGATCAGCTGCAGGACCTGATTAAGGTTGAGCTCCTTCGACGTGCCATCCTTCTGCACCTGAGTCGGGACTGCTCCGTCTGAGACGCTCTGGCGATCTGAAAAAGAAACAAAGCGCCTTTTTGGCACTGACCTGATGCTGGGAGGGCGTCCTGATCAGAGAAAGGCACAGCCACAGCCACTATGCTGAGCATGAGCAACGAACAGCTCGAACAGAACAGAAGAAAGCCGCCGTCCCGTCACTTCTTCAGGAAAGAGTACACAATGCCTGCTGCAATGCCGTTTCGCTGGAGGTGAAGAAGCCTAGCAAACGCAGAAGACATCACTCACTTCTTCCAGCTAGGATCAGCCGAGAAGCCAAAATGGCACTTCATGTTTCTCGCACCGTCCCAGGAACTGTAGCTAGCCCAATATACAAAAGCGGGTCTTGGATGTTTTTCGATTCAAGTTTGGTGCGCTTCTTCACTGGGCACCTCCCATATGCATGGAGATACGTAGCTGCTTCGAGCCAGCAGCCCGCCTGCTCCGGCGGCGTTTTGCAGCGCAGGCGCCTCTGCTCGGTGCTGAAGTGCTGCAGACCAGCTAGCAGCTAGCACCAAACCAGTGGTGGAATGTGCTGCACTGGTAAAGACAGAGCATGACCTCTGCAACCTCAACACTGCTCCAAAGAAGGAGTCAGGCCCAACAGAAGGCTGTGCTTCTCTGTACTTGCGACACCCCGCCTTGCTGGTGCTTCCGGCGTGAGAATCACACCATCACCTGACAGCACATGCTGCCCCAGCACTTGCCCGCGATTACTTGGCTCTGCAGCGGATGCGACTCAGGAGTTTAATGGGCTTCCACAGTGATGACAGGCCATATCATACTTCCCGGACTATGAGAGGCATACTTGTGATCCGGCTGACGTGATTAGTCTCGTGAAAGTCATCTGCAGCCCTCATCTTCAAAATCCTTGATGCCCTGATCCTGATCCTCAGCATCTCGATCGGCATCCTCATCCTCAACCACACCCTCATCGACTGCAGACCAGCTCCATGAACGTTATGATCAACACCAACAGAAATAATGACAATGACAATAGTACCGGGCCCATACCTGATTCCTTCGCGACAAACATCCTCGTCAGCAGCAAGGTCATCAACAGTATCGTCACGTAATCAGTATCACCATAATGAGAATCCTCTTCATCATGGCGGCGGTGGTGATTGAAATGCAGTAGCCTGACATCATCCTCATGGCCATCGCAGCATGAAGCCACTGTACATTCGCACCGCAGCCTTGCGGACGGCGAGCTGAAGTGGGCGCTCGCCTGAAGGAGATGCGACAGGTCCATAGTTTGAAGTTGCTGCTGCGCAATAATGCTAGTATTGCTGATACTACTGTGTATCATGATCCCATTTCGGAGATTATAACTAGGAGTATCTCATGTAACTGCAATACGTGTCGCAATTCAATTTGCACTGGTCTTCTATCTTAGAGCAAATCGTGTTACGAAATGAAATCATGCTGCACTAGCCTATGCCATTATTAATCGTGGAGTTTTGCAGCAGCAGCGGCAGGAGAATAAAAGGTAGTAGCAGAAAAAGTGGTTGAGGCGGCGGTGGCGGTAGTATCATGGTTACTGTATGTGAGTGATCTCTTCTTGTTGTTTACATCCTAACCTGTACAAGCAATATTACACTATTGCTGCAAGGTTAAGAGTTTAGGGGGCTAGGCCTCTTCTCAGTCCTAGTAATTTACTTTCAGGTGATTTGACAAAACCAATCAGAGTTTCCAGCAGGACTCGCCCCCCGGTACCGTCTGATGAAGGAACACTGTAGCCTGCTCAAGCAGGCAGACGAAGCTAGACGCCGCATCCGCGTCGGGTCGGACTCAAGTTTCTGTGCTCCTGTACAGTCTTCGCCGCACAGCCGGCATTACCCTCCTAAGCCTTACTATGCTGTTTGAAACGATATGGGCTCTGCAACGTCCAATCAACGTGCGATTGCCCCCGTGGCCCTAGTGTCGAACTCAGCGAACTCGGCGAGAAGTACATGGCAGTTAGCACGGTACCAGGCGTACCAGGCATACTGTCTTTTCGATCAGCTTTGCCGCTTCTGAGCTGAGTCCTGTGCAGGTGACAACTCTTGCACAGCTAGCTACTGCACAACCCCTACAGATGTAATGTCTAAGTGGCTCTGGCAGTTAGCATGTACAGGTGCTTAGAAAGCTTGCGTGGACAGTTGCTCACAGAAGCGGGGCTTCGAGGGATCATCGAGAGGTTATGACGGGCACCTGGTCGCTGGACTGCAGACTGTCCTGTCGTTCGAGGGCCGCAGCCACCAGCCTCTCACTGAAGCTCCAGAGCTTGCCCTCCATTGCTGGGCCTTTGCTGGGCTTCTCACTTTCAGTGTTCGCCCGGCCCTACCCACCTCGCATCCATCACGCTCAGCGGCCTTCAAGGTCTGTCAGCGCGCACTGTGCATAGAAGCCACCAGATACCACGTCAGCCGCCATGCAGTAGGCAACGGTGGCCTCACGCTTCAACGTGGCCACTACAGATTTAGAGAATGATCGGGGACCGTGAAGCCGTTGGGACCCGAGGCTCTGGCAGCACCCTGCTCGGGCGTCTGCGCTCGGCTGAAGGCACGATGGACGACGCGAAGCAGCCAAGGCAGGTATCGATCAATCTCGGTGGCCACTTCACCTTTCACGAATCGCTTGGTGAGCTCGGTGTCCGCAGATGGGGTCTCGCTACCGGCCACTGAAGGCTGTCTCACCCTCCCGCACCTGGGCTGCAGCTGACAGCCTCGACCTTCCGCTGGTGCAGAGAACGTGCGAAGAGGACATTGCAGTACCTCGGCCGAGCTGTGAAGCTGGAGACTCTGCGGAGACTCTGGCAGATCACAGGGGAGGCTGTCGACTGATTTCGACGAGATGCTTGGAGGCCAAATAGTTGCCAATGAAGCTGTAGTGGCCTGAGCGGGTCGCGTGGCCTGAAAATCCGACTCCCGAGATGGCCCATCTGGAACAAACTGGATCATACATGATCATACACTCTTCGGTTCAGCGATCCCTATTCACGGTTCACCCCGATGAGAGTTGGCACAGAAGAAGGTACCCAGTGGACCTATCTCTGCTTCGGAAGAGCCCCGCGTGTCGATCATCGTCCTGGTCATCGTCACCACCACTACTACCAGCATCAACATCAGCGTTTGCACCGTCACAAGTATCGTCGGTTCCAGATCCCGTCGTAGTATTCGTCGTAGCAGTAGCAAAGGCTGGATCCTGGAACGTGTAATTTGTGTAACTAGCACGGGCAAGCGAAGTGTGGAAGCCGAGTGGCCCCGAGTGATCACAGAGCCACCGGCTGCAGAAACTCAACAAACAAACTTACAGGACAAATATGCAGCCATATGCAGGCTACGCAGACACCTGCAAGGCTGCAAGAAAATCGGCCTTCTTGCGCGAGGTCGCGCAGGGCCATGAATCATGTCTACAGCCAGCGAATCGGCCATCCAGCCTCCTTTGGAGGCTAGAGTTCAAGGATGTCATATCACCGCAGGCATGGATGCCTCTGCGACAACTCTGCGTGGTCGTTGTGTCGTGTTCTATGTACAAGTGTTGGAATCCTAGTTGAGCACGTGCGATGCCAGCAGCCTCTCATTCGTCCGTGGCTTGTCTTGGCAATGACCTGTGACGACGACCTGCACAATCTTCGCCGGGCGTATGAAGATTTGTCCTGGAAACCTTCCAGATGTTGACCTTAAGTTGTCGAACCCGGCGCAAGTTTCCTGTGAAACGATTACATGCACTCCACGGCCTCGAAAACTCTGCATGTGCGAAGCGCACGAGGCCCTCTGTGAAAGGCGATTCGAGAGGACCCTCAAGCAAACTTGTTTTTGTTCATGAAACTTCGAGAGCCGGGACTACTCGTCAACAGGCTTGCTTCCGCTAGTGCTGATGATGCAGTGGTGTGCCATTTGCTTGTGATCTTGGTGTTGCAACTCGTGACTTTAACTTCACTTGATACTGATCCGCCTACTACTACTACTACTACTACTACTACTACTACTCCTGCTGCTGCTGCTGCTGCTGCTGCTGCTGCTGCTGCTACTGCTAGTCCGGATCCTACAGTATCCTACAACAACTACTAGTTACTACTCCTGCTCCTACAAGCACTCCTGCAAGAACAAGAACAAGCACAGGAGTAAGAGCAAGAGCAACGGCAACAACAAAAAAACAAGAATAGCAACAACAGTAACAAGGACAACGACAACAGCAACAACAACAACAACAACAACAACAACAACAACAACAACAGCGACAAGAACCACCACAACCACAACAACAAGAACAAC